CATGTCTGAACCAAGGCTGTAATGAGATCAGGAGCCGAGTGGCCCTGGCGACACCCAAACTGGGTGTCACTGAGCAGGCTATTTCCAAGCAGCACCTGCTCGATAGCACTGTTGAGGAGACTGATGGGGCGGTAATTGGCTGGGTTGGATTTATCCTGCTGTGTGTGTACTGGACATACTTGGCCAAAGTTCCACATTATCGGGTAGATACCAGTGTTGTAACTGTACTGGAACAGCTTGGCTAGGGGAGCAGCAAGTTCTGGAGCACAAGTCTTTAGTACTATTGCCGGAATGTTGTCAGGGCCAGTAGCCTTTGCAGTATCCAGTGTCTCCAACTGTTTCTTAATATCATGTGGACTGAATCAAATTAGCTGAAGACTAGTATCTGTAATGCTGGGGACCACTGGAGGAGGCTGAGATGGATCATCCACTTGGCACTTCTGGCTGAAGATTGCTGCAACTGCTTCAGCCAAATCTTATGCACTGATGTGCTGGGATCTTCCATCATTGAGGATGGGGATATTTGTGGAGTTTCCTCCTCCAGCGAGTTGTTTAATCGTCCACCACCATTCACAAGTGGATGTGGCAGGACAGCAGAGCTTAGATCTGATCCGTTGGTTGTGGGATCGCTTAGCTCTGCCTATCACTTGCTGCTTTCGCTGTTTGGTGTGCAAGTAGTCCTGTTTAGGACCATAAGACATAGGAGCAGAAATTAGGCCATTCGGCCCGAGTCTGCGCCACCATTCAATCATGGCTGATAAGTTCCTCAACCACATTCTCCTGCTTTCTCCCAGTAACCCTTGATCCCCTTGATAATCAAGAACCTTTCTATCTCAGTCTTAAATGTACTTAATGACCTGGCCTCCACAGCCTTCTGTGGCAGTGAATTCCATAGATTCACTACTCTCTGGCTGAAGAAGTTTCTCCTTATCTCCGTTCTAAAAGGTCTTCCCTTACTCTAAGGCTGTGCCCTCGGGTCCTGGACTCTCCTACCAATGGAAGCATCTTCCCAACATCCACTTTGTCCAGGTCATTCAGTATTCTGAAAGTTTCAATTAGATCCCCCCTCATCTTTCCAAACTCCAATAAAGTATAGTCGCAGAGTCCTCAAATGTTCCTCATATGTTAAGCTTTCCATTCCTGGGACCATTCTCGTGAACCTCCTCTGAACCCGCTCCACGGCCGGTACATCCTTCCAGAGATATGGGGCCAAAAACTGCACACAATACTCCAAATGTGGCCTGATCAGAGCCTTTTAAAGCCTCAGGTGGTACATCCCTGCTTTTATATGCAAGTCCTCAAAATAAATGCCAACATTGCATTTGCCTTCCTGACTACTGACTCAACCTGCAAGTTTACCTGGAGAGAATCCTGGACTAGAACTCCCAAGACTCTTTGCTCTTCAGACTTCTGAATTTTCTCCACATTTAGAAAATAGTCCATGCTTTCATTCTTCTGACCAAAGTGCACGACCTCACACTTTCCCACATTGTACTCCATCTGCCACTTCCCTAACGTGTCCATGTCCTTCTGCAACCTCGCCACCTCCTCAATACTACCTGTCCCTCCACCTATCTTCGTATCGTCTGCAAGCTTAGCCAGAATGCCCACAGTTCTTTCATCTAGATCATTAATGTACAAAGTGAAAAGTTGTGGTCCCAGCACTGACCCTTGCGGAACTCCACTTGTCACCGGCTGCCATCCTGAGAAAGACCCTTTTATCCCCACTCTCTGCTTTCTGCCAGACAGCCAATCTTCTATCCATGCTAGCACCTTGCCTCTAACACCATGAGCCCTTATCTTACTCAGCAGCCTCCTGTGTGGCACCTTATCAAAAGCCTTCTTGAAGTCCAGGTAGATAAAATCCATTGGCTCTCCTTGGTCTACCCTGCTCGTTACTTCCTCAAAGAATTCTAGCAGATTCGTCAGGCATGACCTCCCCTTGATGAAACCATGCTGACTTTGCCCTATTTTACTATACACTTCCAAATAGTCAGCAATCTCATCCTTTACAATGGACTCCAAAATCTTACCCACGACTGAGGTTAGCCTAATCGGCCTGTAATTTTCTGTCTTTTGCCTCATCTTCAGGTATGCCTGGTGCTGCTCCTGGCATACCCTCCTACTCTCTCCACTGAACCAGGGTTGATCCCCTGGCTTAACGGTAATGGTTGAATGTGGGATATGCCGGGTCATGAGGTTACAGAATGTGCTGGCGTACAATTCTGCTGCTGTTGATGGCCCACAGCACCTCATGGATGCCCAGACTCGAGCTGCTGGATCTGTGCGAAGTCTGTCCCATTTAGCATGGGGATAGTGGCACACAACACAATGGAGGTTGTTTTCAATGTGAAGGCAGGTCGTCTTCTCCACAAGGACTGTACAAAGTCTCGGTAAGAGTGACCAGTCATGGACAGATGGAACTGCAGCTGGCAGATTAGCAAGGATGAGGTTAAGTATGTTTTTCCCTCTTGTTGGTTCCCTCACCAACTGCCGCAGACCCAGTCTAGCATCTATGTCCTTTAGGATCCAACCAGCTCGATCAGTAGTACTGCTGCCAAGCCACTCTTGGTGGTGGACATTGAAATCCCCCACCCAGAGTACATTTTGTGCCCATGCCATCCTCAGTGCTTCCACTAAGTGTTGTTCAACATTCATCAGCTGAGGGAGGACGGTATGTGGTAATTAGCAGGCGGTTTCCTTGCTCATGTTTAACCTGAAGCCATGAGACTTCATGGGGTCTGGAGTCAATGCTGAGGACTCCTACAGCAACACCCTCTCGACTGTATACCACTGTGCCACCCCCTCTGCTGGGTCTGTCCTACCAGTGGGACAGGATATATCCAGGGATGGTGGTAGTGGTGCCTGGGACATTGTTTGTAAGGTATGATTCTGTGAGCATGACGATGTCAGGCTGTTGCTGGACAGCTCTCCCAATTTTGGCACTAACCCCCAGATGTTAGTGAGGAGGACTTTGCATGGTCGACAGGGCTGTTTCTGCCATTGTATTTTCTGGTGCCTAGGTCAATGCAAGGTGATCCATCCAGTTTCATTTCTTTGAGTCTTTGTAGCAATTGGTACATCGAAGTGGCATGCTTGGCCATTTCAGAGGGTAGCTGAGAGTCAACCACATGGCTGTGGGTCTGGAGTCACATATAAGCCAGAGGGTGGCAGATTTCCTCCTCCGAAGGACATTAGTGAACCAGATGGGCTTTTCTGATAATCAGCAATGATTTCATGGTGATCAGTAGATTCTTAATTCCAGGCTTCTTTTTTGAATTCCAATTCCACCATCTGCCATGGTGGGATTCAACCTGGGTCCCCAGAATAGATTAATAGTCCAGCAATAATACCACTTAGCCTTCGCCTACACTAAATGAATACAATTAGGGTATTAGGGTACAATTTTCTAGCCTCTCCTTATAGCTCATCCCCTCTATTCCAGGCAGCATCCTAGTAAACCTCTTCTGCACCCTCTCAAAACCTCCACACCCCTCCTTTAATGTGGCAACCAGAACTGAACACAATACTGTAAGTGTGGCCTAACTAAAGTCCAATAAAGCTGCAACATGACATCCTGACTCTGGTTTTCAATTCCCCAACCAATACAGGCAAGCATGCAATACGCCTTCTATACCACTCTATCTACTTGTGTGGCCACCTTCAGGGAAGCTATGGATATGAACCCCAAGATGTTTCTGTATATCAACGCTGTTCGGAGTCCTGCCATTAACTGTATCTTTTTCCTTAACATTTGATCTCCCAAAGTGCAGCACCTCACCTTTACCTGCATTAAACTCCATCTGCCATTTCTCTGCCCATATCTGCAATTGATCTTTATCCCACTATATCCTTTGACAACATTCTACACTATCCACAACGCCACTGATCTTTGTATCGTCTGTAAACTTACTAACCCACTCATCTACATTTTCATCTGAGTCATTTATATATATCACTAACGTATGTTTAACTTGTATGCTTAACTAAGATGCCCAAGTGAAAAAATAGCTTTAATATTTAAAAACCTATTCCAACTACCACACACTGAGGTCACAGGATCATCATTTCCCGTGACTATTTGCTAAAAGACAGTCGCAGTTTTAATTGAAACAATATTAAAATCAAATTTTTTATATCCTGGGCTTAAAAAACGGTTGTGAACCTACTGATATTCAAAAATCAGAACCAAAAGACACAAAAACTAAGAATAGTTTTAGGTAGGAACAAATGATCTTGTAAAGTATGCAAACAGACAAACAACTGTAAACTGATTTGATTGTAACACTAGACAATGCTCAAAAAAGGTGCATTAATTCACAGGAAAGCTTTTTTTTTAAAAAAAGAAAAAAAAAAAAAAAAAAAAAAAAAAATCGCAGTTCAATTCTCTATTTTTCAGAGGAATATTCTAAAGTACATGCAGATGTACTGAATTAATACTTGTTCAAACTAAGCAAATTAGATGGCAGTAAAGCTGGTTAACTTTCCACAAGCCTCTCATGCAGTGAATAAAATAAAATACAAGAGTGAGTACTTGTCAACTTGCAAGTGAACATAAATTTTTATTATGATACAACAGTCAAACATGTCTAAATGTTACCAATTCAGTACTTTTGTTTAAAGCTCTCATTATTGTTAAACAGCTATCATGCTCACTACGCAAATAATTTAGCTTCAGCTGTCAAAAAGTAGAGTTTTATTCTTGCAAATGTACTTCATTTTGATGGAAATATTATGATAGAAATATGACACTGCAATATACACTTACAACCTTCATTCAATCTTCCACCACTCCCACCCAACTATCTTGCAGGTTGTTATATACAGACAATGCTTATATGCATTCATTCTGTTAAAGTTATGAACAGTCTTAAGCACAATTATAAGTTAATAACATACAGACACACAGAACAACCACAGAACAACCTCACAAATCTCACTCAAAAACACATGCATGTCTGAACATTAGAGAATTGTACTGCAAGTCTACTGCCACTGACCTGGGCCCTGGTAGGCCTGTGGATGACCATAGCCAGTCATGTCCCAATTGTCTGCAGTGCTATTTTTCTGTGCATTTGAACTGTCTGTATTTGTCGGCCAGTTCACCGCACTCCAGGCATTTCCACTGTTACCTGCATTATTAGTGCTCCAGGTCCCAGCTGAAGTAGTATTCCAGTTCAACCAGGGATCATCTGCATTGTTTGCCTATCAAATTAATACAGAGGACAAAAATTACTGAAATTGAATATAATTATTGGGCTAAATTTCACTGATAAAATAGCTATGGTAAGTATCTCAAACTCAATGAAAATAGGTCAGGGCTTCCAGCATCCACCAATGTGCACTCTGACTCCACACATGCAGATGCCAGCAGTTTTGGCTCTTTTGCCCTATGTTCTCCCACCTGCTTTGCTGCACAAGTAGCAAAAAAAAAGTGACATGAGTAATAGCCTTTTCACACTATGAATGTTTAGGGTCTGGAGTGCACATCCTGGATGCATGCATGAAGATTTGTTTCTTCCCGAATTTCTGAATCTAAAGGCTCAGCATTAAAACTCAAAAGGCATTAATTTGTGACACTAATCCAATAAAAACTCCCAGAAAATTTAGAACCTGTCTATTCAAGCTTTAATCAAGTTTAGCAGCAATTTCAGTATCATTATTTAATATCATTGTGCTTTCAAGCAACTTTTCTATGTTGCTATGCTCACAGCATGTCTAAAGATCATTAATATTTAATAAAAATTCCAAAATGAGTCACTGGAAAACACTGGTGCAATATTGAATTGTGAACAGAAAAACTTGAACTCAAAACTCCAACCTTCACTAAGATAATTATAACAAGGTACTACAAATGCCCTTAGTGTTTCTAAGCGGCTCTTACTAATCCAAAGAGACAAATTAGCACCACTTGCAGCAAAGCAATTGTATAAACATGGGGGAAAGAACAGAATTGTCATGGATGTGTCAAATAGCCAGCTGCAGCATACAGTAAAATGGTAATTTTTTTTTAAATAAACACTGGCATCACCAAAAATTCAAGAAGAAACAAATCTTCATGCACGCCTCAGGAAGTGCATTCTAGACCTTAAAATATTCATAGGTGAAAAGGCTTATACTCATGTTGCATTTGCTTCTTTTGCAGAATTACTTTAAATCTGTGCCTTCTCATTCTCAAACATTTTAGGAGTGGGAACAGTTTCTCTCTAACTATGCTTTGCAGATCCCTCAACATTTTGAAAACTTCTATCAGATTGTCTCTCAGACTCCTCCCCTCCAAATAAAACAGTTTCAACTTCTTTGATCTATCCTAAGAAATGAAGTGTTTCATCTCTGTAACCATTCTTGTAAACCTCTTCTACACTCTCCAATACATTCACATCTTTCTGAAGTGCAGTGTCCAGATCTCTACATAATACTCCAGTATAGGGCTAACCAGTGTCCGATATAAACTCGGTATAATCTCCTTGCTCTTGTACTCTATACCCTCATTAATGAAGCCTAGGATAATGGGTGCAATTTTAACAGCTCTCTACCTATGCTGCCACCTTTAATGACTCAAGTATACAGATCCAGGTGTCTCTTGCTCCTCCACACCCTTTAGATTAGTACCCAGTTTAAAAAAACTTCCCATATTCTTTATACCAAAGTACACCACCTCACAATTCTCTGCGTTGAACTTCATTTGCCACTTGTCCATCCATTCCAATTTGTTGATTGCTTTTTGAAGTTCTACACGGAACTCCTTGCAGTTTAACAATGCTTCAAAGTTGTGTGTTATCTCCAACCTTTCAAATTGAATAGGGAGGCAATTGCCTAGTCGTAATGTGACTAGACTAATGGTAATGATCCAGAGGTCTCAGTTAACATTCTGGGGACCCAGTTTAGAGACACAATATGCAGTCGATGGAATTTGAATTCGATAAAAATCTGGAATTAAAAAGTCTAATGATACCCATGATATCACTGTGGATTTTCACAGAACCCAATTGGCCCTACTTTTCCTCTAATCATCTCTATACTATTTGAGTGCTTATAAACAACATTTAAATTCCTTGCTGTCAGCCTCTTTTCATAATCCGGTGTTGCTTCTCCCATTTGCTTTCCCACCTCCATTTTTTTAAACTCAGCACCCGTCATAAGCATACATTTTCTTCATCTTAATTTCTATGTCCTTTCTCTTCCAATCTGGACTATGCCTGAACCATCTCCCCTTTGAAGGCAGCCCACTGGTCAGCTATATATTTTCCTGCAACATTTGGCTCCAGTCTATCTGGCCCGGTTCAATTCTTGCCCCATTGAAGTGGACTCTCCTGCGCTTAGTATTCTTACTCTAGATCCTGTTATCCTCTACCAGTATCATCCTGAACCAACATGCAGCCCACCTCATCCTCAAAACCCAGCTCTAGCACAGCCCCCTTTCTTCTCATTGGACTGGACACATATTGCTGTAGAAAGGTCTCCTGAACACATTTTAGAAACAGAGGGGCAGGGAGCAAGTCATTATTCCAGTCTACATTTACCTAATTAATTAAAGCCCTCCATTATAATTACACTATAATATTTGCACCTCTAGTTCCCTTGCAGATTTGTTCCTCTACATTCTTCCAGCCATTTGGTAGTTTATAAATGACAGAGAAATATAACTATCTTTTTCATTCATTAACTGTAGCTGAATTGCTTTCTGTCCTTGAGCAATCCTTTCTCAATCCAAAATGGATAGCCTCACATTTATTTGTTTGAGGAACTCTATCTGCCACAATATTGCCCATTCACCTAGTACAAAATTACTAAGTGATATTGATAGGCTATCACCTGCACTGTCTACAGTGCTTCTTTGCAAGATCAGCAAATTTGGATATGTGACTCTCTATGTCATTATCCAAGCCGTTAATAGATAACGTGAATAATAGAGGCTCTAATACAGATCCTTGTAGGACATTTGTTACATCCTGCCAATTTGAGTACCTAACCATAATCCCTACTTCGTCCCCTACCACTCAACCAACCACCCAGCCATGTCAGTAATTTGCCTTCAATTTCATGGGCTTCTACCTTGATTAACAGTCATTTCTTATGTGGGACTTACCAAATGCCTCTGTCTTATCAGTTTATTTCTGTACTCTAGTGTAGCATTGGGAGTAATCCAGAGATTACCAGTTTTGAAGTCCTGCTCTCTACCTTTCTACATTATTGCCTAAACTCTGACTGCAGCAGCACATCTCCTTTCCTCCTTACGTTGCTGGTACTAACAGGGAGTACAACATCTGGATGATCACCCTCCCCCTAGAAGAATATCTGCCACCACTCTGACATTGGTGAGCCTAGTACCAGGGAGGCAAAATCTAACCCCCCCCATCCACTGAGTCACATCTACAGCCTCAGTAATGCCCATCTGCTCCATTAACAAATTACCCCATCAATACTGCTCTTCTATTCAGTTGAGCTACCGATAGCAAGAGCCAAGCTCATGGCACTACGCACCACGAAGGAACTTTTGCCCTCACCAGCTTCCAGAACGGAAAACCAATTAATGAGAAAAACTGTCTTAAGGGACTCTGCGCTACCTGCCTGGTTCTGAATGCCAGGTGGTCATACGTGTATGGACATGTCTATCCTGCAGTGCGATCACCTCGCTAGTTCTTTGCTCCCATGGATAAACTACACTAATCCAGGCCATAAGTCAAGCTCCAAAGCTAAAATCCCACATTTCTGCAGTCTTTGACACTTCCTATGTTCTCGTCAAGGTCATGTAGAGTGCCCGCGACTAGCCACATACCAGAGGATATTCCTCATGCCCGATTAACCCTGCCATACCCAAAAGCTTACTCTTGGGCCATTTTCTATAAACTGGAGATTAGAAAATAGAAAGTAGAGTTACTCTCAAATCCTTTTCTTGTGCCTATAAATTAGAAACTTAAGGGTAAGAGTAGTAACGGACCCCTCCAGGATGAAACTGCTTTTTATATTTAAAAAAAAAAAATGACATGGAATATCTCCTTTTCCAATTCACTCAACTTAAACTGCCAGCACAAGTCAAAACTATAATTTTATGTTAGAAACAAAATCTATGTCTCAAGCGCAATGTGTCTTCTTCAGAATGAAAGTGGGCTGGAAAATCATGCCTTTTTACACTATTAATATAGTATTGTGCTGGAAGAGGTTGGTGGTGGTCGGAGGAGCAGATGGCCAGAGCAAAAGACAAAGGAAGTCCTCCAAGGGAGATATAGAGATGTAAATAGGTGTGAAAATGAGTCCAATATATTGAAAGCAAAACCAACAGGGCAGAAGGAAGTTGGAAGCGTTGGAAAAAGAGAACTGTAACCAAAATGGAGCACAGAGATTCTGAAGCTCTTGCGAGCTCTGGGAGTGAAATAGAGAGCTATCAAGGTGAAAAAGCCAAAAACTTAAAACGGAAATCCCAGGGAGAAGAGGCATACCTGGAAGATGGGTATTTTTGAAATTAGGACGTTCAATCCCAACTGTCTCACCGGTTTAGAAAAAGTGTTTGATAGTATTGCACCAAGACACTTGCCTTTGAAATATGTAGAAAAAATGTTGGGATTTATTCTCAACCATTTGTTATTACAAAGCACTTGATAGCAGTGAATTACTTTGTACCTTTGTAATACAAGGAACGTAGCAGTATATTTGACTCAAAACTCCCACAAATTGCAATATAATAATGGCCGGATAATCTGTTTCAAGTGATTTGTTTAAACGCTTGCACAGAATGAACACAAAAGGTACTTACAAAGGTAAAGGTCGCATGACGATTGCATGCCACCAGTAACCTGAAGGTGCAATTGCATGCTCTAAACAAAAAAAAAATCCATGCACTATTTACAAGTTTTGTAAGTTACCCAATACACACAAAGAAAATCACTCATTCACAACTTTTTTTTTTTAAAAAGTGTATTGACTGCCATCAGTTCCACTTATCAGTCTCTGCATAAGCACTGCATATATAATCTTAGAATAATGCAGGTTTCCAAATGATACAGATGTGCGCAGTTGTTGGCTGTTAGTACCTGCTCACTCCTAGGGTCAAAAACTGAAAGAACTGCGGATGCTGTAAATCAGGAACAGAAACAGAAGTTGCTGGAAAAGTTCCGCAGGTCTGATTTTTTTCTTCACAGATGCTGCCAGAACTGCTGAGCTTTTCCCACAACTTCTGTTTTCACCCCTAGGGTCATGTTCCTTCC